AAAAAAAAAAAGACCTAGGTCCTTTTTATTGTGTTGATAGAGTATAAGTTACATTTGAATCTAGAAACAGGCCTGCCCAGTACTAGAATGTCTAAAAAATATAACTGATGAACAGAGCATAAATTATGCTCTTTGAGGGGGTTAAAAATGAAGCCTAAGTTATATTAGTTTTGTAAATATGTTCAAGAAATTATTACCCAGAAGAACTCCACATCTTTGCATTTTTCTCTTGTAGTAGCTATGTGATGGTAAACAAAACACAACAATGTAAAGTGCAGTGCTGGTACTAGAAAGGCAAGTTTAAGTCACTCACCAAAGTTATTTCAGTTCTGAGGTTTCAGAGATGGAACTCAGAAAGAGTTGGAACTCCACAGGAGCCTGGGTCCTAATCTCTGCTCCTCTACAGCTTGGAATGTTTAAGAAGTAATACACATGTGAATTCTAAACAATATTTTAAATAGAAGTTTTCCCCTAATCACAGGTGTTCTTTAAAGAAATTTTCTTATACATTTTGGAAACATCTACCAGCTCATTTGATCACAAATGGATGGTTATTCAGACACTGACAAGGATTTGTGCAGGTATTTGAAATTATTTATTATCTCTTAGATATTTAAAAGGCCCAATGTATGTATATACTCAATGCATTTTGTTAAAATTAATATGTTATATTGTTACAGATGCTCAAAGTGTAGTGGATATTTATGTAAACTATGACTGTGACTTAAATGCAGCCAATATATTTGAAAGACTAGTAAATGATCTATCAAAAATCGCTCAAGGAAGGGGCAGTCAAGAACTTGGTATGAGTAATGTTCAGGTAAGAACTTTAGAAACATTTTCAAATTTAAACTTTGCCAAGGAAGAGCCAGGTGTTTTCCTTAAAAGAATTTTTGTTTTTATTGTATTTTTGAATTATTTTGTAGGAATTGAGCCTGAGGAAAAAAGGTCTAGAATGCTTAGTGTCGATTTTGAAGTGTATGGTTGAATGGAGTAAGGATCAGTATGTGAATCCCAACTCTCAGACAACTCTTGGTAAGGTGACATTTTGCATTGTAATTCTTCATCATTTTAACTAAATGATACTTTGGAGGATAGTTGCAGATGCTGTTAAAACAGTTTCATGATGTATTTTTTCATTTAACTGATAAGGAAACATTCTCTATGAGTTAAATGACTAGCTTTAAAATTGTGAATTTTCCAACTTATTCAAACTATTTTTTCTTTCCAGATCTTCCTAGAAATATTTTGAATATTATATAAAGTGAAGTATATTTATGTAACTTTATTATAATTATAGAGAAAATATATTAAAGCCAGTATGTTTGGAGAAGGTTGAATTGTTCATCTGTGTTTGATGTTTACCCTCATTCAGAGAAAAACTTATAGCTGCAGGGCTACGTTAGTGTTACTGGAAACTATTCCTCATGCAAATGAGCTGAGAGCAGAAATCCAGCGGATACTCGGCACTGCAAGTGCAAAAAGAGCTCCTCTTAACGGTATAGATAGTGGTCCCCAACCTTTTTGGCACCAGAGACTGGTTTCCTGAAAGACAATTTTTCCATGGACCAGAGTGGGGAGGGTGGTTTTGGGATGATTGAAACGCATTACATTTATTGTGTCTTCAAACCTTTGTGCTAATAATAATCTATTTGCAGCTGCTCTCCAGTGCTAGCATCAGTGCCTCAGCTCCACTTCAGATCATCAGGCATTGGGTTCTCATAAGGAGCACACAACCTAGATCCCTCGCATTTGCAGTTTACTGTATGGTTCGTGCTCCCAGGAGACTCTAATGCCACTGCTGATCTGATAGGAGGGGGCGCTTATGTGGTGATGCAAGTGATGAGGAGGAGCTGTAAATATAAATGAAGCTTCACTTGCTCACCCACCGCTTACCTCCTGCTGTGTGGCCTGGTTCCTAACAGGCTACAGACCAGTACTAGTCTACTGCCTAGGGATTGGGGACCACAGGTGTAGACCTGTACGTGTAACAAGTTACAGTGTGTTTTTATATCAAAGTATATTGTTTATTATGTCACCTAATACTTTATTTGTATTAAATAGGTATCTAAGCAACATTGAAATGCCTTGCTTTATTTGAGAATTTGTTTTCCCTTTCACATTTTTTTTCTTTGACAGATTAATGTACTATATCAGTTTTTCTTCTTTCAGGTCAGGAGAAACCCTCAGAGCAAGACATGAATGAAATCAAACACCCTGAGACAATAAACAGATATGGAAGTTTAAATTCCTTGGAGTCCACATCATCATCAGGAATAGGCAGCTACAGTACACAGATGTCTGGCACTGATAATCCAGAACAATTTGAGGTCCTAAAGCAACAAAAAGAAATAATAGAACAAGGGATAGATTTGTAAGTTTCACATTTTAAGGAGAAACGTTATTGAATATTCCTCTGCCAGTACTGTGCCACCCCTGCCCTGGGTTTCTCTGCATCTTCTGATTATTTTTTATTCCTTCATTACCACCGTTCAGTGAGTAAAATGGGGTAGTTCTCTTGGATCCAAGAATTCTGTTGGCTCCTTATTCAGCTCCCCTTATTCATTGCAGCCTAGCCCAAATAGATTCTTATAATGCCAAACTGTAGTTGTCATATAAATTAATTTGCCCAATATATTAATTGCTGTTGATGAACATCATCTGTGTAATTTTGCATTGTTTAGCTCAGTTATGAAATCACCTATTACATTTCCCAATCATGTGACAAATCAAAAAATTTTAAGTATGAAACTTCGAGCTAGCTTTGCTCCTTTATATGTTTTACGTTTTCTTCAGTTGGGTTACAAAAACACTACTCTTGTTATTGGTTTTATGTGTTGACAAGATGATCACCTCTCTTTCCCACCTGGCTACTGTACCAGACCCTAATCTTGTGACCTCAACTTTCCTACTATGGTCTGTGCTATCTGTCTGTGTGAATACTACCATGCTGCCTTCCTTTTCTCTTATTGCCCATCTCTTCTTTCAAAGAGATGCCATAAGGAAAAAATGATATTACTGGTCTTTCTCCATGAATCCAGCTATTGTAAACTATTAAAAATTCCCTTGTATGTTTACTTGCTTTGCCGCTTCTGCTGTAAAGCATTTCTTCCTGATAAGCAGTGCGTTTTGATGGATGTTCAAGTGTCTTTTTTTCAGTGTTCATATGAAAAAAATTTGACAAAAATGTACACGTATTCTGTTAGAAAATTATAAAATCTTACGAAATTACCTCAGGAAATAGTCATCAATATTTTATTCATTCTGATTGTTCAGTCAATATTTATTGAAGTCCCCTCTGTTCCATATGTCATGCAAGGTCTTGAGGAAACTAGATGAATGAAACAGTCCTTCCTTCTGAGGGGCTCACTGTCTAGTATGTGTAAACAAATATGCATACCAAAATTCTGCTGGCCACTCAGCAAACACATATTTGATACTTGGGACTATGTGCCAAGCACCATGAAGGCACTGGTCCCTGTATTCAAGATTATAGTCTAAATATGGGCAAAATATTTTTAAAAAATAGTACTGTATACAGTCAATAAGAGATTGTTCAAAGCGCTACTAAGGTATGATAACTCTATCGGAAGTACTTGAGGAGTGAGAGAGAGGGAGCAGTCACAGAGCTTCAGAGTAGAGGTCTCCCTAGCTTCCAGTCCTTCTCTCAGCTACTGGACTTGATTTCTACCTTGCCATTAATGAGAATGCTTTCACGTAGCTGTGTTCCCAATATACTCATCCACAACTGTTCCTTTTGTGACACCATTCTATCTTGTTTCCTTCCTACCCTCTGACCGTGTGGTCTCAGTCTTGTTATGGGCTCTTTTTCTCCTGCATACATGATGGCATTGCAAGGGTTCTGTCTCTCAGCGCTTTTCTTTTTTACTTTGTATCTTCTTTTAAAGGATCATGTTCTTTTTCATGACTTCAGTTACTATCTATGTGCTAATATTTTACAACTCCCAAGTATAATTTTTATCGTAAATACCTCTACTTAAGTCCAGATTCATATCTCTAATTGCTTGTTGGAATCTTCACAGGATATGGCATAATTTCGCACACTCAGCACATCTATAACCAGATTTATCAGTCTCTGTTCTCTTCATAATCAGCACTGTAATGCTATTACCAAAAACAAAAACAAAAGACAAACAGAAAACTCTATTGTTTCTGTATTTCTTATTTAGGCAAATGACCCCAGCATGTTAATAAATTTATAAGCTAGAATCCTGGAAATTAGCTTAGATTTTCCCCTCACTCTTGAGTATAATGTGTCACTAAATCCTGTTGGTTCTATTTCCTAAATATGTCTGCAATCTATTTTCTTTTCTCCATCTTCCACAGCTATTCTCACAAGTAAAATCATCACCATTTCTTGCCTTGACTAGTATAATCTTTTATAATTGGCTTACCTTTCTGTGGTCTTATTCATTCTTTAGTCTTTCTCACACTTAACTAGAGTAATCTTTCTTAAATGAAAGCCTGCTTCTGTTTCTTCCCTCTCTTCCTCTTAGACAATAAAGGCAAAGCTGCTTGTGATGGCAGTATATTGTATATAGTACCTTCGTGATTTGGATCTGCTGGATTCTGGGCTTTAATACCTGCCATTTCTCTGTTTGTGATGATACGCTGTCTTACACTTTTGTGTATCAGTATGCTATCTCCTTCTCTGAGATGTTTTTGTTTATTGTCTATTAGAGATATAATCATTCTTCAAAACTCAGTTCCAGAGTCACCTTTCCCAGAAAATATATCATGACCATCTTAATCAGTCACTTCTGTTATTTTCTTCCCTTGCGAATGTATTTATTTGTTGCATTTTTACTATTAAAATTTTTTAAAATAGTGTTTCTTCCATTACAGTGAGAACTTTTAGAGAACAAGGACTGTGTTTATCTCAGTGGAAAATGTTTAATTTTAGTAAAAGTATGTGATTATGGTTGAATTAAAACTTGACAGGAGAATCATTAGGAAGATAGAATAGGCAAGAGCATTCCAGACAGAGAGAATGGCATGCACAGCAGCACCGGGGGAAGGGAGGACATTTGAAGACTATTGTTCAGCTTGGCAGGGGCAGGGTGAAGAGGAATAGCAAGAGATGAGAGGAGAGCATTGAATTGGATCTAGATTGCAGAAGGCCTTATTCTGTATGTAAAGGAGTTTTTGTCTTGTATCTCTTGAGACTGGCATGCTAGTTAGTGAAGGATTTTAAGAGAGGAGTGGAATCATCAGATTTGTTTTGTGAATATGACTTTGCCAGTATCCTGAAAGTGGATTTGACAGATTAGAATATGGGCAAAAGGAGATGGGGAGACCATTTAAGAACTCTTGCAGTAGGCCAATTAACAGGTGATGACGCACCAAAGTAGTAAAAATAGGGAGTAAATGATTTGTAAACAAAGAGGTAACATTTGAGTTGGATCCGTAAGCATGTGTGAGAGTACCCAGTGAATGGAGCAGGTAAAGGGCATGGAGAGGAAATAGACTCTGAAAATACGTATGTTTGGGGAATGGAATAGGATATATGGGAGGAGATGAGTGAGAAGGGGGTGAGAGAATCTGGAGATATATTGAGAGAGGTTTTGTGTTCCAGTCTAATACATTTGGACAAATGAGCCAAGATTACTTGAAGATTTAGGAAAATATGTATTCAAAGTACAAGCATATCTCAGAGATTGTGGGTTCAGTTCCATACCACCTCAATATGGTGAATATCACAATAAAGCAAGTCACACTAATTTTTTGGTCTCCCAGTACAATTAAAAGTTATGTGTATACTATGCCATAGTCTATTAAGTGTGCAATAGCATTACGTCTAAAAAAAATGTACATACCTTAACTTAAAAATACTCCATCGCTAAAAAATACTAATGATCATCTGAACCTTCAGCAAGTCATAATCATTTTGCTGGTGGAGGATCTTGCCTTGATGTATATGGCTGCTGGACTAATCAGAGCGGTGGTTGCTAAAGGTTAAGGTGGGTGCAGCCGTTTCTTAAAATAAGACAGCAGTGATGTTTGCTACAATGATTAACTCTTCCTTTCACGAAAGAGTTCTCTGTAGCATGTGGTGCTGTTTGATAGCATTTTACCTACTATAGAACTTATTTCAAAATTGGAGCCAGTCTTCTCAAACCCTGTTGCTGCTTTATCAACAAAGTTTGCGGAATATTCTAAATCCTTTGTTGTCATTTCATGAGTGTTCACAGCATCTTCACCGGTAGATTCCATCTCAAGAATCTACTTTCTTCACTTATCCATAAAGAAGCAACTCCTCATCTGTTAAAGTTCGATCATGAGATTGCAGCAATTCAGGCTCATCTTCAGGCTCCACTTCTAATTTAAGTTCTCTTGGTATTTCCATCACATTGGCAGTTACTTCCTTCACTGAAGTCTTGAACCCTTCAAAGTCATCCATGAGGGTCAGAATCAACTTCTTCCAGACTCCTGCTAATGATATTTTGGCCTTCTCCCATGAATCACACATGTTCTTAAGGCATCTAGAATGGTGAATCCTTTTTAGAAGGTTTTCATTTTACTTTGCCCAGATCCAACAGAGGAATCACTCTCTATGACAGCTATAGACTTACAAAATGTATTTCTTAAGTCTGATTTACTCCTTAATTCATGGGCTACAGAACGGATGTTGTGTTAGCAGGCATGAAAACATTTATCTCCTTGTACATTGCCTGGGTGACAAGGTGTATTTTCAATGAGATTCCTTTTGAAAGGAATCTTTTTTTTCTGAGCAGTAGATCTCAACAATAGGCTTCAAATATTCAGTAAACCATGCTGTAAACAGATGTGCTGTCATTTAGGCTCTGTTATTCTGTTATTCTAGGATTTTCAGATGGAAAATGAGCATTGGCTTCAATTTAATGTCACCAGATGTATTAGCCCCTAACAAGAGAATCTGCCTGTACTTTGAAGCCAGGCATTGACTTTTCCTCTAGCTTTGAAAGCCCTAGATGGCATCTTCTTCCAATAGAAGGCTGTTTCATCTACATGGAAAAATCCATTGTGTAGTGGAGCCACCTTCAGCAATGATCTTAGCTAGATTTTCTGAGTAACTTGCAGCTTCTCCATCAGCATTTGCTGCTGTGCTTTTATGTTACAGAGGTGGCTGCTTTCCTTCAGCCTAATGAACCAACTTCTGCTAGCCTCAAACTCTTCTTCTGCAGCTTCCTCACCTCTCTCAGCCTTCATAGAATTAGGGCCTTGCTCTGGATTAGGCTTTGGCTTAAGGGAGCGTTGTGTCTATCCAGAACAGTAAGATTTTGTCATATAAGCAATAAGGCTGTTTCGCTTTCCTATCATTTGTGTGTTCACTGGAGTGACACTTTCACTTTCCTTCAACAACTGTTCTTTTGCATTCACAACGAGGCTATTTGGTGCAAGAGGCCTACCTCTACTCCTATTTCTGGTTTCAACATGCTTTCTTCACTAAATCATTTCTAGCTTTTGATTTAAAGTGGGAGAGGTGTGACTTCTCCTTTCAGCTGAACACTTAAAGCCTATTGTTGGGTTATTAATTGGCCTAGTTGAGTTATTAATTGGCCTAGTTTCAATAATGTTGTGTCTCAGGGAATAGGGAGGCCAGGTAAGAGGGAGAGAGGTGGGGAAACGGTCAATTGGCGGAGCAGTCTGGACATAAACATGTATCGATTAAGTTTGCCATCTTATATGGGCACGGTTTGTGATGCCCCAAAACAATTAAAATAGTAACGTCAAAGATCACTGATTATAGATTAGCATAACAGATATAATAATAATAATGAAAAAGTTTGAAATGTTATGATGTGCAATAAACAAGGTATGCCTCTGGGAGTTATTAGTATTCACAGCTATAAAGTTCATCTACTACATGTCATTGTCTCTAATAGTCTAGTTACAGCTGTTGATACGGATTAAAAAATATACTATACTGCAACAAAAAGTATGTGAAATGATCCATTTCAGTGATAAATATGGCCTTCCACTTGAAACTCTTTTATTTCTTTTTAAAAATTATTTATTTATTGTGGTTTTTTTTGGAGACAGGGTCTGTCTTTGTTGCCCAGGCTGGAGTACAGTGGCATGATCATAGGTCGCTGTAACCTCAAACTCCAGGGCTCAATTGATCCTCCCGGCTCAGCTTCCCCAGTAGCTGGGACTACAGGCACGTGCCACCACAGCCAGCTAATTTTTTTATTTTTTATAGAGACAGGGTCTCACTATGTTGCCCAGGCTGCTAGTCTTGAACTCCTGGCCTCAAGCAATCTCCCTGCCTCAGCCTTCCAAAGGGCTGGGATTACAGGTGTGAGCCACCATACCTGGCCTCATTCGAGATTCTTTTCTAAAAGGAAAAGAAAACTTTGTACAATGTAATATTTTAGTACATTCATATATTGATTATATTAAATAAGTTTCTTTTTCCTGAGTGCTATTGGAAAATTAAGTGACTGTAGTTTAAGATATTCTTTTCAGGAAATACAAATGGTTTTCTATTTTTAATGTTCTCATTAACTTTAACATCATCTAGATTTAATAAGAAACCAAAGAGAGGAATACAGTACCTCCAAGAACAGGGGATGCTTGGCACTACACCTGAAGATATTGCCCAATTCTTACATCAAGAGGAAAGATTAGACTCTGTAAGAATACCATTTTATCTCATTCAAACCTTTTCTATAAAATTCCTTTTTATGTTAATAATACATGTTATTGCCCCTTTAAAATGTTTTCCTAAGTATGAAGGTAAGTAAAACCTAAAGAATAACCTTGGTTATAATATAAATATATATAGTTGGCCCTCCATGTCCATGGATTCAGTCAACTGCGATTGAAAATATTCAGGGACAAATGGATGGTTGTGTCTGTGCTGGAGATGTACAGACCTTTTTCCCTTATCATTATTCCCTTAACAGTACAGTATAGCAACTAGTTACATAGATTTACAATTATTAGGTATTATAATTATCTAGAGATGATTTAAAATATGGGGGTGTGTGTGCATAGGTTATATGCAGATACTGCACCATTTTATATAAAGGACTTAGGCATCCATGGATTTGGGTACCCAAGGGAGGATCCTGGAACCAGTGCCCCAAAATACCCCAGGGAAAACTCTGCGTGTGTGTATGTGTGTAAAATATAAATTTTGCCTTTTAAATTTTCTGAACTCAAAAGAATATCTTGATATTTTTATAAGTGCATTTAGTAGTTTAATTTTTAGCTTCATGTTTGGAATTGTTTATCTTATAGTCAGAAACATGTGAATCTTATGGGTTTTTCTGCTTTTTAAATGGTTGTGTGGCAAATGTAACATGCCTTTAGAATATCAATTTCTATCTTCTGTTTTTACTTTAGACTCAAGTGGGTGAATTCCTGGGAGATAATGATAAATTTAACAAAGAAGTCATGTATGCATATGTGGACCAACATGACTTTTTGGGAAAGGACTTTGTTTCAGCTCTTCGCATGTTTCTGGAAGGATTCCGTCTTCCAGGGGAAGCTCAGAAAATTGATCGATTAATGGAAAAATTTGCTGCAAGATACCTAGAATGCAACCAAGGGTAAATAAGATCCAAATGCTTATTGATTGTCAGCTATATTCAAGACACTGTGCTAGGAAGCACCCAGGGATTTAGAAATAATAGGACATAATCCCTTGCCTTAGAGAATTTAGATTGTCTTCGATCTGGAAATGATAGGACAAATCCATAAAAAATTATAATGTGAGATAGAACATAAGTCGTGAGAGAGAAAATTAAAAGTGCTGTGGGGTTTGGGATGACTTATTTAAATGGAATGATAAAACAGTAAAAGTTTATAACATGGTATGTTTATTTTCTCAGACAAACCCTTTTTGCGAGTGCAGATACTGCTTATGTTTTGGCTTACTCAATTATCATGTTGACCACTGACCTTCACAGTCCACAGGTATGTTTTCTTCTAAGTTGGTTTTACAGTAAGTAGCACTGTTAAATACGTACTTTTGAATTCACTAAGTAATAGTTAAAATTTTAATCTTATTCAGTTAAACCGATCACCAAATTGGGGTATTTAATCTGGGTTGATACACATTTTACAAAAGCGATTTTCAGTAGTAACTCTTTTATTTTTTTAAATAATTTAACAGGTCATTTTATTGGCCTTTAAAATTCATATTGTTCTTTAAGTTTATTTTTGTTACTTTTTAAAATTTTAAAATATTAAGGTGGTACAAATGTTTTTCATACATGGCTTGAGGCAGGGCTATAAATGTGCCCATCACCTGAATAGTGTTCATTGTACCTGTTAGGTGGGTTTCTGCCCTTCCCCGCCTCCCCACCTGCTTGATTTCCAATGACTTTTACTTTCCTCTGTGTACTTCTGTGCCCATCAGTTAGTTCCAATTTATTAGAGTACATGTGATATTTGTTTTTCCATTCTTGAGATACTTAGCTTAGAGTAATGGTCTCCACTTCCTTCCAAATACCTACAAAAGGTGTTAATTCATCCTTTTTTATGGCTGAGTAGTGCTCCATGGTATACATATATCACATTTTGCTAATCCACTCATGAATTGATGAGCACTTGTATTGATTCCACATCTTTGCTATTGTGAATTGTGTCGCAATAAACATTGGAGTGCAGGTGTCTTTTGATAAAATGACTTATTTTCCTTTGGGTAGATACCCAGTAGTAGGATTGCTGGATTGAGTAGTAGGCCTACTTTAGTTCTTTGAGAAATCTCCATATGTTTTCCATAGGGTTTGTACTAATTTGCAGTTCCACCAACAGTGAATAAGCATTCCTTTCTCTCTGCATGCACACCAGCATCTATTGTTTTTTTGACTTTTCAATAAAAGCCATTCTAATAAGAGTAAGATGATATCTCATTGTGGTTTTAATTTGCATTTCCCTGATGATTAGTGATGTTTAGCATTTTTTCGTATGTTTGTTGGCCATTTGTCTATCTTCTTTTGAAAAACTTCCATTCATTTTCGGTAGTAATTCTAATTAAGACTTTTAGGTATCTGTAAAATATACCTGTATGTGTCATTCTCGTGACAGACAACTATATTAAACTTAAGACATATTTTAATCTAGAAAGATATTTATAGGTCTTCCGTCTATATTTGTCACAACATGTAAAAACACTATATATAAACCAACTTTTTTTTTTTAATGTTTCAAACTTAAACAGTAGAGAGATTAGTATAAAGAACCCTCATATACTCATCACCCAGCTTGCACAATTGTCACTGTATGGCCAGTCTTATTCTATCTACATCCTTCCCCTCCCCTAGATAATTTTGAAGCAAATCCCAGATATCATCTTATCTGTATTTATTTCAGTATGTATCTCTAAAAGAAAAATACTATATTTAAACATAACCACAATACTATCACACCTAAAAAATTAACAATAATTTTAAAACATCTGATATCTAGGAAATGTTCAAATTTCATTTGCCTCATAAAATTCATAATTCCTTCTTAAATATTAAAGAAGTGTCACTTTATTTCTGATATCCACTAAAAATGTTATTTTTAAAGTTTTTATGTTTTTTGCTTAGTTTTTAAGAACATGCTTTGATATCTTTGTGTAAAATTATCTTTACAAATTATAAGAATTTCTTCATATTTCTAGGGGTAGGTATCTAATGACATTTATTATTCTTAGGATATAAAATAAATTGTATATTTACTAATCCAAGATGTATTGGAAAAACTAAATTTTATTTGGAGTTTGAGATTAACCTTTGCAGTATGGAGATTTTTTTGGTGTGTATTTTGAGATGTTTAAGGCGGGGTTGATATGAAAATTATATACCAAACGAGGTGGGAGTATTATATATATGAAGTTACTCCTATTATAAACATCACCATTGAACAACTATGCATTTACTACAGATTTACTTGATTTTATATAGGACTTCTTAAAAAAATTATTTAAGATTTTAATCATTTAAGATGTGCCTTTGGCATATCATTGCAATATAGTCAAAGCAGCCCGTCTTTCAGAGTTTTCATTATCCAGCCTGATTACTTTTTTCCATGGTTTTATAAGGCAGTCCACAGATAATGATTTATTTAGATATCTTTATATCAGAGTTTTCAGTCTGATTTTTCATCTCATTTTTCAGTCTAAACCACAGTATTTATAACCTGGGCTTACATTCCTTTGTTTTTAGAAGATTATATTTTTAAAGACATTTGGTTCTATAAATGAATAAGTAATATCATATGCACCTGTGCCATATTTTCCTATACATATGTACATGTTCATGCTGAGTTATTTTGAAGAAATATTTAAATTTCCTTTTGTGTCTTTTCATAAGTACCCAGATTGCTGAAAGTTGTTAAAGACATTCATTTAGGGAGCATTATCTTGAGAATAATGTCTTCAGTGTGTGATTTCTGTTAATAGACCATGTGCTTGCAGTCCTATCTAGCAGTGGCAACTGCTTGTCGTCAGCCCGTTCCTTGTCAGATTGCTGCTTGGCATCGTGTGCTGATACGCAGCCTGCAGCTGTAGAGCAGCTTGTGAGTTCTTACGAAGCTAAGTAGCCTGTTAGAAAATTGAACCATAATCTTGGCCCTAGTTGAGAACCATATGAACTATGACAAATAACAACATTTTAAAAGAATACGGGTAAACTTTAAAGGAATTTCTTAAAACTGATTCTTCTCATTCTCAGTTTTCAAACTTAAAATACAGGTGAATTTTAACAAGCCATATTTGCACTTAGAGTATTTATAATTAGGCTACCTTTTATATAGTGTGTGAGTCAGTGAATTTTTAAATTTTCGAGGTATGTTTAGAACATTTAAATTTTTTGTGTATATTAATCATCAGTAGTAAAAACCAACTTTAAGTGATTTAAACGCTAAACAAGGCACAGCTTTATTTAAGCACTTGAGAATAAAAGTGAAGAGTAGAGTGTTCCATAAAAGGTGTCAGGAGCAGAAAAGTTTTACATGCTTCCAGAATCCCACTGTGGTAGAAGTGTTCAGTGTGAGCAGTGTGCTTTATTTTGTATGCCTGAAAGCAAAATCTCTACTCCCATCTTCTGGGAGTCCCAACCCAGATCCATAGACACTTAACTGCTACTTCAGATTTTGTGTCAAGACTTCTTTCTGCCTCTTAATGGCATAATGCTGAAACGTTTTGCCATGCTCAAAATTTCCAGGTGACAGACATCTCCCTTTACCTCTTCTTGGCAGCACTTGTGCGGTCTTTTATTTTGATGTTCCTGGTCTGTTTTTAAGCATTTGTCAGAACTTTAGGTAATACGGCTTTCTTTCTTTTGTACTTTTTTAGTGCTATGACTGAAGATGAGTTTTTAAAGTTATATGATAGAATTTTATTCCCTTAGATAATAAGTTACATTTGAAAAATTACATGGTAATATTTTTACACTTGTATAGGAAAAGCACTCCTAGCACCTTTCTCTGACAGGTTAGAAAGATCTGTTTGCAGAGTAATCTGAAGTAAATAAGCGCATGAATCCCAGTTATATTTTCTAAACACTCTGGTCTCTTTACAGTCATTTTTTGTTTCGTTTTTTTCTATGAGACAAGATCTCACTATATTGTTCAGGCTGGACACTCCTCCCACCCCAGCCTCCCGAGTAGCTGGCATTATAGGTGCAAGCCACTGTGCCTGGCTCTTATGGTTTTTGCAAGCTTCTGATGACTTGCTTGATTATTGTTCTATGTACTTTCATGTAAATTTACGGGAGCCTTATCTTTAGAATTGCCTTAAATTCTGTATGGAAGGTGGTAGGTAGGAATATATTTAGTTAAATAAATATCTCTTCAGATATATAAGACTTCTGGATTTTATCTGCCTCAGTTTCTGGAGATACAGTATAAACATTTTGGCTGTGCTTGTTCCAAAGTTTGGTGACAGGGCTACCATTTTACAGACTCCAAACTTATATTCCATAGCTTTATCAAGGTACAAAGTAGGACATTTCTGTTCAGCATACTCTTAAACAAGACAAAGCAGTCCTAGAATACTTTGTCCAGATCACCTAATATAATTCAGTTGCCACAATGACTCGGTCAAAGAGATTGTTCTCTTGTTGTAAGTAAATTTCAGCTATTGTTATTCTTGCATCCACTGTTAAATAAAATCAGTTTTTAACCCTTTAAAGTTTTTTAGCAACACGTTTATGTTCTTCTGAACTAAGATTTGAATGTTTTTAATACCTTTATTTTTAATAATTGCTGTAGCCCTTTTTAAAAGACTGCAAGAGCTTTTAAGTCTCAGGCAAAACCAAATGATTTCATTATCCAGTCTCCTTTCTTATTGCAAATTGCTCATGTCCACTGCAGAGAAGGATGAATTAGTTTATGCCAGAATGGGTCTTTTCTACATTGCCTTCATTTTCTGTGGCTTTTTTTTTCATTTTTATATATGTTTTGTTAAACATTTTGCACGTCCTATCTCAAAGTAATTATAAAATCTCTCATGAGTATTCAGTTCTTAAAATACAAGTGAAACTTTTATGTTAATTTTTAGGAATTATAATGGTTTTTCATATCCAGGTTAAAAATAAAATGACAAAGGAACAGTACATTAAGATGAATAGAGGTATCAATGACAGTAAAGACCTTCCTGAAGAGTATCTGTCAGCCATCTATAATGAAATAGCCGGGAAAAAGATATCAATGAAAGAAACAAAAGAACTAACAATCCCTACAAAATCAAGTAAACAAAGTAAGTAACCAAATCGATCGAGTCCTTATTGTTCAAGGGAAAAAAATAGGGGTCCTTAAAAGAGTATTTCACTTGATTTAGAATAAAGTAACCATATAAATATGGGTGAGAAACACATTTTGATGAGAATATTCTAATATACAGTTGGGTAATCCAAGTGTATTTTTTCTCTACACCCTGAAGAATGATAAACTGACCAGTGATTAATAGAAAATGCTACATAATATGCATGTGTTACTGTGTGTTTAATGTATACTCATCCATTTAGCAGTTAATCTCAGCCAGGATTTGGAGGTCAAAGAGATTGGTTAGACAACCCCTGTAGTCAGACTTCAACTCTTTTTTTTTCTGTCTCATCATCTTCGAGCAACATCTTTCCATCTGTTCATCTATCATGACACTTAGATGGAAGCCGGGAGTAGGGGTGACTGGAGGAGCTGGGGAGGGTGAGAGTCTTGGGGAGCTCATGGAGTTGGAATTCACTGCTTCAGACAGACCATAACTTAAGTAGAGTCCCTAGATCTATTAATACCTAGCAGTAGGAGTCAACTGTGGACTCATTTCTGTTCTAGACACTGTGTAAATGGAGACAGTGGTAATTAGAGCTGAAATCTGACTTCAGGAATGAGGTGAGGGTAATGGTTCAAGAATGTAAGAGTAATATAGAAAGAAGCTTCCTGCCTTTCTCAGCACTTCTACTTGGAAGTGAAATCGTAAGCTTGAAAAAATTGCAGTAGCAAGATTGTATTGACAGGAGAGAAACTGTATTATATATTATAATATGCTCATATCCCTCTTTCTCTGTCCTATTTTTTATATGCTGGTAGGAAATCAATGAGAAGCTGAAAATGGGAAGGAGATGGTGTTGTGCTGAAAACATTAAAATTACCCTGGAGTGTTAGGACCAGTGTTTTCTTGTTAACTCAGGAGCAGTCATTCAAGCACGTGTGGTACAAGGATGCCATTGCCTTTTACCTCTCTTCCGCTATTCTCCTATCCCATATTTAGGTTTTTTTCCGTAATACTTTTATTATGACTCTGAAGGTTATACCCACTTTCTCCCCTTTTCATAGGTTTTCTACTTATCCTTGACTCCTAGTCCAGGCTCTTTTTTGAGGTGAAATTCACATAACATAAAATTAACCATTTAAAAGTGAAGAATTCAGTAACATTTAGTACATTGACAATGTTGTGTAACCACCACCTCTTTCTAGTTCCAAAACATTTCATCACCCCAGAATAAAACCCCGAACCCGTTCAGCAGATACTCCTCATTCGCCTTCCTCCCAGCCCCTGGTAAACACCAGTCGACTTTCTGTTACTATGGATTTATCCATTCTGGATATTTCACATAAGCAGAATCATATGTGACCTTTTGTGTCTAGCTTCTTGAATTGGTGGTGTTTATTATTTGATAGTAAAACATCAAAATAGCATTCTTAAATGCCTTTATATCTTAAATGCTAATAGCGTTTGTCGTTTCAGATGTAGCCAGTGAAAAACAAAGAAGACTTCTGTATAACTTAGAAATGGAACAGATGGCCAAGACAGCTAAAGCACTCATGGAGGCTGTGAGCCATGTTCAGGCACCTTTTACAAGTGCAACACATTTGGAGCATGTGAGGCCCATGTTTAAGGTTAGAATTTCTGATAACTTAATTGCAGCATACATTAATATATAATTTTGTTCAGCATATTTTTAAGTTAAGGAATTACAGTGATATAACACATTAATGTAGACCTGGAAGCTATAGCCATGTTATTTAAGGCATAGTAGATACAAATTTTCTGTTACTTAAAGAGAACAAGAAGTGTTATGCACTGTAAGTTATTAATTGGTATGTAGTCTCATGGATTGAGTATAGAAGAGTTTTGGAGAATGATCGTTAATCCTCAGCCTGATTTTCTCTAAATGAGTTATACTTAAACCTTTGGAGTGAATTCAGATTTCAAAGTGATCATGAGGCTCTTTCTCTCTCCCAGTGCTTCCAGCCCAGGAACTAATATGAGGGTCATGAGTATGCTTGGAGCCTAAAAAGTAGGGTAAAGAACAAAACGGAGCATTGTGCTTGTGGGTTGATTTAATGAAAATGATACTTACTAGTTCTTTGAAATTTAATTTCCCATTTCTTCCTCATTCTTCTATTCTTTTCTATCATTTCTCCAAATTCCAAAATGAGTAGGCAGTGCATTAAAAGGGTTGTAGGGAAGTGGAGAAGAGTCTAGTCAAGTTTGAAAAGAGAAATGGGGTAAGTTATATTCCATTTCATGAGACAGTGTGGTACGATGGATGGTCTGTGGAGACTGGAGATCATAATTCAAGTTCTCATTCTGGTTCTGACTACACATATGGATGGGTAGTGAAAGATTACAAGATTTCTGTGCTGCTTTCAGCTCCAAAATTGTATAATAACTTCTACCCCTCCTTCAAGGTCTGTGTCATACGGTATTTCTAAAAGTTGATGAAGAATTATGGGATGAGAGGACATAGTGTTAGAAGGAATAGTGGAGTATAACTGGCCTTATCTTTTAGAATAATATAGAAAATCATGTTGAAATATAAGAAACACATTTTTTCTTTATTATGAAATAAATTTTATAAAGATGTGTTTGTTTTAAATAACATCATGCCGTTATTTTACTTATCTTTTCAAATAATGTTTTTCTTGGTGGGGGTTGTATAGAAGATTACAAAACAAAAGTAATAAGGAACCAGCTGTAATTCTACCACCCAGAAAAATACTTTTACTGTTTATATACTAGGTCATTAAATATGAAATGTCCTATTTCAAATCAGTTTAGTTTATTATATCTCAAACAAGGAGCAGTACAATTAATCAAAATATGTGCCTGAACTATTGACACAGTTTTGCTATCTTAACAGTAGCTTGCTTATGCCAGCATCAAAGAAGCCTAGAGAGCAAGTAGCAATGAAATCGTGAAAGGCATTTTCCACAGCTTGTTGAGAATTGAATATTCCTTGCAAGAAGTGTTCCAAAGCCTGGTAGAGGTGGTAGTCAGTTGGTGCAAGGTCTAGTGAATACAGTGAATGACAGAGAGTTTCCACATCCAGCTTGTGTAGTTTGAGCAGTGTTGTTTTTGTGACATGTGGTCTTGCAAGAGGATTAGCTCTTCTGTATTGACCAATCTCAGTTGCTTAATCGCAAGCATCCCTATCATTTCATCCTGTTGGTTGCAGTAGGCATCTGCTGTAATCGACTGACCAGGTTTCTTGAAACTATAGTGGATAATACCAGTGCTGGATCACCAAACAGACACTATTAGGTTTTTTTGATGAATATTCGGTATTTGGTTTTGGACTGTGCTTCAGCACTTCATCATTACCCAGCCATTGTGCTGAACATTTGTGACTGCCAAAAAGAATCCATTTTTCATCACATATAACAATATGGTATAGAAATGGTTCGCCTTTATGTTGTGACAGCAAAGAAAGGCAAGCTTCAAGACAGTCGTTTAATTCATGTGGTACCAATCTATCCACCTTCTTTACCTTGCCCATTTGTTTCAAATAGTCCAATATTGTTGGACTAGTAACGTCAAACCTTGCTGCTAATTCACGTGTAGGTCAAGATGGATTCACTTCTACTATAGCTTTCAGCTCATCATTATTCACCTTGGTCTCAGGTCACCCATATGGCTTATTTTTCAAGATTAAAATTACCAGAATGGAACTTCTCAAACCGTCGACCTACTGTGTGTTCATTAGCTACATCCTTCCCAAACACTTTGTTGATATTTCTAGCTGCCTGCGCTGCATTGGTTCCAGGACAGAGCCTGTATTCAAAAATAACATGAATTTTTGACTGGTTTCGCAAGAATTGCTCTAAAAAAGATATGAAAGATAATCACAAACCAAAACATGTGTTTGAAAGAATGAGGATGTACCTTCACAATAAAAAAAAAAGTGTCAAAGTGAAATGTCAGATATCAACTATCAAACTTAGTACTTAAGGAAATTAGACATTCCATGCTTAAATAACCTAATACTTTTCTATCTTAGTTAAGCAGTTGTGAACATACCATGTATTGAATTTTATGTCTTGCTGTTTCTCCTATAAGTAATTTCCCAATTTCATAAACAGCTTTTGTGATGTATTATCTGGATTAGCTATAGTTTATTTAAACATCCTCCAAGCTAGAATCTTTCCCCCTACTGCCTTTTCTGGTGCCACTACCCTACTCCAGACGCCCTCATTTCTCTCTCGCTGATAACTGCAGCATTTTCCTAACAGGCATCCTCATCCTTACTTTGCACTCCTCTTATCCAGAGTGATCTTTTTAAAATACAAATGAAATGGTCATTGACTCTGCGTGATACATGAAACCTAACCACCCCTCCAGGGTTTGCAGACCTTCTGTATTCTGGCTCCACCTGCCTCTCCAACACCATCGCTAGTCCTCTTCTGTTTTTATTATGCTGCATTTACACCAGCATTCTTTCAGTTTCTAGAATGTCTTAAATTCTTTTCAGGGCATTCATATAAGGTGTATCCTTTGTCTAGAATATTCTTTCCTTCTTTGCCTGAGTAGTTTACAGTTTAAATGTCACCTTCTCTCAGAGAGTTCTGCCCTGACCCTTCAATCTAAGTTAGGTCCCTGTATAACATGCTATGCTTTTCCTTCATTATATTTATAATAATTAAATACGGATGCTCCTCAACTTACAATGGGATTATGTCCCAATAAAACCATTGTAAGTTGAAAATATCGTAAGTCGAAAATGCATTTGGTGTACCCAACCTACCAAACATACCTTAGCTAAGCCTACCTTAACCATGCTCAGAACACTTACCTTAGCCTACAGTTGAGTAAAATCACCTAAAACAAAATCTATTTTATAATAAAGTGTTAATATCTCTGTAATGAAGGTATAATTTATTGAATACTGTACTGAAAATGAAAAACAGAATGATTGTATGGGTACCATTGTAAAGTTGAAAAATTGGAAGTTAAACCATCCTAAGTCAGGGACCATCTGTATATACATTATTTGTATACATTTATGAGGCAAAAGACCATATCTGTTTATTTTTCCCAATATTTAATGTAGTTCCTGGCTTGTGGTAAGTGCCCAATAAATAAGCATTGTCTGAGGGAAGGAAAGAACGATAAATTCCTAGAATGTAAATTACAATATTAAGGGCCGTTTTTAAGAACCTTTTTACATGTTGCCAAATTGCGTTTCACAAAGGTTTATACAGTTATGAGTGGACAATTTCACTGTTGCCTGGATATTATTTAGGTGTAATTTGATAGGAGAAATCATTGTCTCTGATTCCTAATGAAGTTAAAAATTTTTTTCACTGGCTTAAGAACCATTTGTATTTCTTCTTGTATGAAATATAACACAGGTTCCCAAATAGATTTGCTGTTTCTGTGTAATAGAATGTGTAATTTGTTACTTTCACGTGGTACTTTGTAATTTATAAGTACTGCACTTCATGTGTTTCTCATAGCTTCTCTCTGTAGTGGCAGTTTGGGTATTACAGATGAAGAAAAATGAGATTCAGAGAGATTAAGTGACAGAGCTAGGACTAGAACCCAGGTTCTGTGTCTTGTGTTCCTTTGTTTAGAGACTATAAACTTTTACTTTTTGACTTTCCGAAGTTTAGAAACAAAGCTCTGGGTGGTTTTGTTTGCTTTAGTAATATATACTAACAGCTTTATAGATTGTTCAAAAATTCCAGTTGCCATTTCTATAGCAAACTGGTATAAACATTTTTCATCTTTGTGGCTGTATGGCTATGTAGTTTTGCTTCATGATGACTTACCAAAAGCAGTTGAATGCTCTTACATCAGACATTTTAAAGTTATGTGCTTAATTAGGATTTTCAGTGGTCAAAAAGCAGCTCTTTTTTTGTTTTATAGTATAACTTCATTAGGTGTCCACAGTTTTGATAGTAAAATTTTAACAAATATTTGTGTCTTCCATAGTCTATAATGAAGGTGTATTTTATTGAACTTTAAAAAAAAATATTGTCCAACTAGGAACCAGAGATATCACTGATGTCTCAATGTAAAATATTTAACAATTTAAAAAAAAAAATAGGCTAAATGATGTTCAGGGAGCAGGCTTAAAGAAAAGAGAATAATGTTATTGTTGCAAGTAGGAAAATGATTAAAATAATCCTACTAGAAATAAAGAGTCTATGCAATATTGCAAGGCACAAAGCTTACAAAGATGAGTTCAGGGATAAAACTAATATTTGTTATGTATATTGACTTCCCATTTTTTAATTGATGTGAATAATTTATAGATGCTATTCTTAAAATATGCCTAAGTTCCTCTACTGAATTTATGATCTTGCTCTCTACTTATTTAAGCCCAGGAAGCATTTTATAGTTTGTTTTCCCCCTTTGTCTAAGAAAGCTTTTCAGATAACTATTCCAAAACCTTATTTCTTTTATTCAGAACTTCCTTAAGTCTTGTATTGTTTGAAAGCCTTGAAAAATATTAATGTAGTATTATCATAAAATTTATTGCTTTATGTTCATGATATAT